CTATACTAAGTAGTTCCAGCGTTGACCGCTCGATAGCGCCGCTTACCCGCGCTAGAAAAAATCAGTCCGGGAACTTTCCGGACAAACTGTGTACTGTCATTTGTCGTAATTGTTATGTATTGTTTTACTTATTTAGACTCATAAACATTTTTATAATACTACAGAAGATTCTAAAACTCTACATATATCTTTCTTCCTAAACCTATTGAAACGTGATGTGACCATGCAGTACACTAGATGCGCGCGCACTCGAACTTTAAAAAATAATAGATATTTACTTACAACTACAATACGTTAAAACTTTATCGACAGACGCGCTATCAGAATTATTGCGTCATTCTATCTTTGTATTAAATCTACTATGCAATAAACATAGAGCGAGATGCAATAGCGCAGATATAGCGCTCTTCTTTACCGCAACTAACTCTACAAATTTACATCAAAGTATCAATCAAAAGCGAAGGTGATAAGAAACCCTGATGACTGTATTCGTCTATTTGATTTGTCTTTGTGTATGTGGCATCTTTACTGAGTTCAACAAGAAAAAAAATCGGTATTTGCATAGGAAAAGCAAAGATTGCAAAGTGACGATAGTGGTTTGTGTTAAATTGACGGGATACTCGCTAACATCCAATGCCTGTAAAGTAAGATGGCTTTCTGATACGAGATATGCGCTAACGAACAAGTCTTTGTCGATTTCAATTTTATTGAACTTAGTGTAGTTTTCAGGCGTTTTTTTTTTTGCTATGATTTCTGTATATGTCACAGAAAAACTTGAGAACAGGCAACCCATGAAACTTTTTTCCAACATACTCGCAATTGCTGCTTTCAACATTAAATATCTATAAAAATAGATGTATGAAACACTTACAAAGCAACAATCACTTTCAATCGTAGACAGTACAAATGTAATCCTTTTTGAGTTTGTGCTGCAATCACTTTTAAATAGTTTAACACTTTGTTTATAGTTTATTCAATGTAGTTGTTTCAAAAAAACAAATATTGGACTGACTATCTCAAATAGCACATCTCGTATATGAAAGTTTCGCATATTGAACAGTGAAAATTTACATTATAAAAGTCGTATTTTTATCACTACCCATATTTCTATCAGTAGAGATAACTTTCGTAGACCGCAAATTCAAATGAACAGGATTTACATATTGTAATGAAGACTAAGTACTTCGTTTCTTCACTATGCGCTCTTCTGCGAGCTTCGTATATCGCGATTTATAAAACGCGGCATTTCTATTGAACAGAATATCACCAAACTACAAAACCTACCTTAATACAGTAGCGTAGTAAGAAAAGACAGCTACCAGTGCGGTCTTTTTCCTTATTCTTTATAAATTTACTTTGATACTAATTTAAATAACTACCAAATATTTGTTTTACTCTTGTAAAAATCATTACTTTTTTTCCGTTTTACTTTTTTTTAACCAAATAATTTTTTATAAAAATACAAACAAAGTACTAACGTGATCGTAAATTATTTGGCTAATTATTTGCACAGTTGTTGGTGTTACAAACTGTAAATACAACAGTGTAAACGACTCGTACGTTTGTGTGCTACATAACTATTTCGGAGGAAACCAAAACGCATTACTAATAAGCAAAAAAAGACAAAGCAAGTTTTCCATTCTACATCAACGCTTCTAGTAATTTTTGATAAACAAGAAACGCTGAATTGATAGAAACAACATTTTCTGTCTATTACGCAAGGTAGAGAAATAAGAATAAATAAGATTGTTGTATTACATTAAACAACGATCGAACTGTAAGCATTGAAATTGCGGTTTTATATTGTTCCATTGAATCTTTGTTAAGACAGCGATCGAAATGTACCGCTTTCTTTGCACCTTTTTTAATACGGCAATGCCTCAATATGTATCTACATGACATACACTGTAAGTAAGATGTTTTTCACAACACAGATGTTTTTATCGCGATGTATATTTATTACTTCCCGAAAACGACTGTCCTGTAGTTATCGAGTATCTTTCAAACAGGCAAGATCGCAGATATCTTTCGACACCTCGTTTTTGTGACCGTNTATAATGAGAATTCTTGTGTTCCAATTTTCATATTTTAATTGATGNGATTATTGTCTTAAATATGGTAAGTCACCATAAACTTGTACATTATTTGTTAAATATTAATATTTGTTGTCAAATGTACCTTCTATCTTTCATTACACGCTACCAAAGTATGAAATCCATTTTTTGTGTTTTATATATAAAAAATATATATCTACTCGATTTTCTTACTTATTATACGACTTATAATATTTGTCACTCTACTCCGTACATTACGATTACATGAATACTACTACATTTTAAATTCTTTTTTGCACTGATGTAATTTGCAATGTGTGCCATATTATATTAATAAAACGCGCTTAACAAATGTGAACAGTTTACTGTAGAATATAGCTTTGTTCGTTGAAATGATATTTTGTCATAAACGTTTCACAAACTTTGGACTCGTTTTTCTTCAATCGTTCTTCTGTATAGCAACTAAATGAACCCATGACAAATATTATGTGAATGTATGTGTATACGTGTATGTGCAAGCGATAAACATAAAGACATCGCAGCATGATGATAAACATACTAATAATAACGGTCATCCACATCTGTTGGTAACAATAATATTTGAAAACGCACTTTATGACCGCGTTTAGCAAAACAAACGTTAAGTTGTTGTCTTGTCAATATTCGACGTTAAGTAAATAGTTCTAAAAATAAGAGCCACTTATATTTGATTACTACAGAGCAGCTTGTTTTGCTAAACGCAACCATTTATTCTATACAATTTAAATCCGTTGTTGCGCTTTCATTTGCATATTTCTTGTTTAACAACCAATTTACTTTTATAGATGCACATTACGCAAATGCTTACATTCTGTGGTACTTTGTGCTTAATATTTCTAACCGAAATTGCTTCTTCCACGGATGAGACTTTATCTGAAGAATTGCAATGTATAAAACCGATATCCTATGAAATGAAGATTTTTCCGCTAATACAAAATAACTCTCTTAACGTTGAAACTCGCGTCAAAATAAACGTTAGCTGTTTACAGTCACCTATAAAATTAAATTTCGGACGTTATTGTGATGCACCGGAAATTACTTTTATTAGTAATAATATATTAAGACGTGATAATCTTCCTTCTTTGTTTTGGACAACGTCGGTGTCATTTTTGACGAAAGTACAATCCAATATTTTACTCATTAAAGTTTTTCGAGTGAATCACACACTGTGGGACTTAACACCCCGAATAACATATCTACAACCCGGAATATACTGGATAAATGCAATATATAATTGTCTTTTAGACAAAGTTGCTACTGTTTTATCAAATAAACAGCAATCTGAAGAATCGAAGTAAGTACATACTAACTAGAAACATTATTTAGTATTACTTTTGTTTTGTTGCACTATGATTTATATATATATTGACAAGTACTGGAACAATTTATCTTTAGCACTCACGATTTTCACTACACAGATATTTAATTTTGCCACGTATTCCCGCTGAATGGATATTTCCATATTGGGAAAACTCAGCAATTAAGGCCACATTTAGTATTCGAATTTACCACAACATCGATGAAATAGCTCTTTCACATATGTTTGGTGATACACGTCTTGAAGGAAATACATACTTTCCCCCTTCGTCTATAATGTCTACTCATTTAGTAGCAATAGCAGTCGTACCTTCTATCGTAGCTAATTCCTATTATTTTTTTGAGGGAGATATTATAATAAACAGAGTAAAGATAAACAGTAACTTGTTATATGCACAATCTCTTATTACAAATATCAAGCATCGTGTTAGAAACACTTGGAGAAATGTATCATGGTCACGTGTGATTTATGTAGCTCTTCCAATAAATTCTAGCCATTACGAAAGTATAATAACTAAAAATCAAGTTTTCTTCAAGTAAGATACTACTCAAGACAATAAAACGAATTTATAAACAGATGTACCAAAAATGACACGATTGCACTAAGACCAATGTTTTTCAGTGAAGTTGAAATTACATACGATGAAGAACTAGATTCACTTGCACAACAAGAAAAGGTAACATGTTTGGTAGCACGTAATGTAATACAAGAAATGTTTAGTGATTGGTTACCTACATTGAAACAATCTGATTCTTGGTTTATGGAAGGTTTTTCACCATATTATGGAGTGTATATTATTGATCAGGTAAATCATACAGTATCATAGTCGTTTACACTTGTAACTTAAATGGTTTGTTACACGCAAATAGTATTTATAATAAACTTTATCCTACTAATATATACTTACACTATTGTAACACGTCCATGTAACACTGTTGTAATATTACTTTTTTACATTTTTATTAAGATCCAAAAGTAGTATCAGAACATAGGTATGTATTAGATACTATGTATACATATGTATATGTATATATTTATGAGTATATATGATATCGTCATTTTCTACGTTTAACCCTATAACTCTAAAACGCAAATTTATTTATATTAGAGAAGAGCAGATCAACAGTTTAACACTTTATGTTTCTCTGGATAAAGCTGCTTCTTGTTTTCGATTTTACTTTATGAATATTTTACTTATAAATATATTTTTTTATTATTTGTTTATCATAAGAACGTCACTTTTGAGTATCACTATACAATAAACTATAAATTTCTGGGTGAGTCTCAGATAGACACACGACGGAACGGATACGGCAAAATGTGTAAATCAGATACAGACTCAATCGCACACGACAAGACACATACACAGAACTGAGACAATCGGACACAGTTACAATTGAACACAAGTCAAGACGTACACACGACATTCTCAATCCGACAAACAACGCTTGTAGTGACATATTATATTGGCGTACATTGACAAGCAACGTAACTAAAACGAAAGCAAGATTTCATATAGGTTTCACCTTTCCACGCAAATCGAAGAGAAAGTGCAGGCCGCCTTTGACTACACGTTTAAAGCACAAACAAAAAGAATATAAGAAAAGAAAATCTTGTTTAAATACTAATGTGTCCGATTGAGACTATCGTGTGTCCGTTTTATCTCGTGTTTGTTTCAACTTGTGTCCGATTGAAACTGCATTTGATTGCGACTGTGTCCGATTTATACATCTTGCTTTGCCT